AATCTAACTGATGAAGGAGCTTCTGAGTATTTAGGTCCACATTCTACTTTCAGGCTACATATTCTGTTTTCATAATTTGTCCTTGATGGCCCAATAATCATGCCTGTCCACCTTGTAAGTGTCATATCTTCATCATCTTCAAGGCCCCAGCTAACCGTACCATCGCCTACTCCTTTGTGTCCTTCTTCAAGTTCTTCCAACAAGCGAAAATTACGAGGAACTTGAACTCCAGTGGAGACCGCCATCTTCTCCTACAGCCCCGCTTTGCTACTGTTTTCACCACCATGAGGCCTCCATTGATAGCAATTCAGTTATTTTTCTCATAGCTTTGCCTAAGTCGAATTCTCAGAGGCCCACAGACTCCTGAGGTTTCCCCGAGCCCAGGCCCCTGCCCATGGTGCAGGTCAATGCTGTGTGTCAACAGTATGGCAGTGTGAGCTGCCTCTGTGCTGTATGGACATTTTCATTGATGGTGCAAAAGCAACAGTGAGTAAAACTCGTGGTGGCTTCATCCAAACCCTGGCAGTGACATCCATCTGAACTAACAGGCACTGAGTTCTTCATACAATCACAGTGGGGAAACATGCCAGTTTCACTTAAAAATATCTTTGTTGAAGTAGTACAAATTAATGATTTTATTACATTTCACCCCTTGGGTGCATGTCTTTTTCAATATTCTGTCTGATGGAACAGGAAGTACACATAAAGCACTTCTGCCACGTACCAAAGCAGGGTGGTCTCCAGGAAAACTCCTGTCGTTATTTCATTTGCAAACTGCGTGAGCTGCTCTTTCCATTAGATATCCTTTTTACTTGAAAGACTGACAAACTATGATTGTTCCGACTTGAGTGTTTGGCAGACATTTTGACAAAAAATGAGGAAAGTGAGGCTGTCACATACAAGAAAATAACTGACAGCATGAATTGGAAATGATGAAATTCAAGCTTTCATGTGAAGCATCCAAAGTTTGGAAAAATCACACTCACTGCTATGAGATCAATGACTCCCCAGTATTTAACAATCTTTTTGATGAAATTGGTGGTGATATTGATTACTGTGATCTCTTTGATACTGGCTTATAAAATTTGGCAACTTTTAAAAGATCTGCATAAGTCAGCGAAGTAATCGTTTCAGATGACCAGATCATGGTGCTGCAAACTAGGCACATGTAAAGTATCTGCTGGAATGTGAAACCAACAGTTTTGTTTTTTTAGAATTATTTATTTAACTTTATTTATTATTATTGTTTTATAACTTAACCAGAGAGAGAAAGAGGAAAAGTGAGAAAGCAAGCCGTCAGGTCTGGGACTCAAACCATGGTTGGCCATGTGGGAGTCCAGTGCCTTAGTCACCATGCCTCCTCCCAGCCCCACCAATGGATTTGAATGTAACAGTATGAAAAATATTACTGATGAGTGATGTGACTTAGCAAAAGACCAAGAACATATGTCATGAATAGAATTAATAAAACAGAATAAGAATTGGGTTAATCAATAGCTTTACTATTAAGTACATTTAAAAATATGTGATATTCATCATTAAAAAAAGACCTCAAGAAAGTATGTTATATATATGAAAAATAAACCAGAGGAAATGATAAAAGAGAGATACATAAAATTTTTATAGAAGTGAAAGTTGCTATATGCATAAGGGAAAAGGATAATAAACTGTCAGGAATATGATAAAGTTAGAAGTAATTGACATGAAATAAAAATGAGCACAAATATAAAAGAGAAATGATAAAGTAATTAAATGGTAAGAAGAGAAGTTCACTAGTGGTACCTGAAAGTATCATGAGATATAATATTAAGAAACTTTTCTGGAATAAAAAGTAATAAGTTTTACAAAGGAGAGACCCAGTCAATTCTAGAGAAGAGAACAATGCAGAAAAATCAGCTCAAAGAAGATCTAGGAAATTTCTGAACTCCATTAATGAAGAATTACATTAAAGTGATTAGAAAAATATGTACCAAATTAAACTTAAAAGATAACATCTAAGAATTCAGGGAATACTATATCCATGAGCAGTTTTGGAGGAAAACTATTTTTAAATATGAGGGATCTTCAAAACATTAATTGAAAATGCATGTTATAGGCACCAGCAGATGGTGTAAGGATTACATCGCTGGACTCCCAAACAGTTGATTGCAGTTTCAGACCCAGAGCCCGTGGCTTGAACGTCAGGTCAGGTATATATGTGTGCATGCCCCAAATGCAGAGAATGGAGTAGAAAGGATTGTAGCACAGCCAACCCCCCTGCGGGGTGACTTCTCATTTTCGTCTCCCTGTCTCTCTAGTGAGTGTACATGCCCTATAGCAAAAATCTCTCTCTCTAAAATATATATATATATATATTATTATTAAAAAGCAAAACATGAATTTTAAAAATATTTTTGCACCAGGCCAGCCTGTGGTTGGTGGTGGGAGTAGCTGAACCTCACATGGCCAACCTTGTGGTTTGAGTCCTGGACTAAGTTGCTTGAGAAACACATGGGGAACGTGTACACACGCCCAAGACCCTGAAAGGAGGGAGAAATGGAAGAGAAAGGGTCGCAGTGTTGCCCTTACCGACAGGAGAATCTTTCTCACTTTCCTCCTGTTTTTCTGTCTTCATATCTCTAGTAAGTACAGGTGCCCTCTGGGAAATTAAGAAAAAGAATTTTGCACCAAAATTAACATTGATTTTAATTTCATTTAAAAAAAAAAAAACTTTTGAAGATCCTTTGTATTATATTCTGTGAAAGAAGAAAAATAAAACTTATGATTTTTTAAAAAATGTGATAGAGTGTTACTGAAAAGTGGATAAATTTGAAGCTAACTAACAAAAAGCAGGATGCATGTAGTGTCAACAATGATAGGAAAATGCCCTGTGCATGTTTTCTCTTCTTACACAACTTTGGATCAATGCGTATTGAGCACTTTGAATGCACATGGTTATGAAAACATGATAACCTCAAGCTTTTAATGTATTCCCTTAGTTTATAAAATAAACCCTGAATACAAATACAGTCATATTCTGAGTGGGTAAGAGGAATCAGCATAGGAATTCTGGAGGTTACTAATCCCTTTTATTTATCTTTTTCTTTTCTTTTCTTTTCTTTTTTTTTTTTTTTTTTTTTTTTTTTTTTTTTTTTTTTTTTTTTTTTTTTTTTGCTGTTGTTGTGGTTGTTTGAGAGATTTTTGCTGTAGAGCATGTGGTACCAGAGACACACACAGAGAGACAGAAATCACCCTGCAATCCCTTCTCCATTTTCCTCCTGGGATCTTGAGCATGTACACATGTGTGCCCGGCATGAGTCTCAAGCCACAAGGTCTGGAAATTAAACCCATGATCAACCATGTGGGAGTCCAGTGACATAACTACTACACCATCTGTTGGTCATGGTTTTTTGGTTTTTGTTTTTTTTGTTTTTTTTGTTTGTTTTTTTGAGAGATATTTTGCAATAGGGTATGTGCACTCACTAGAGAGATAGAGGCAGAGAGAAAGTGAGAAATCACCCCTCTGGAGAGGGTGGCCATGCCACCATCCCTCCTCCTCCACTAGTCTCTCACGATTTTGGGCACACACACACACACATTCCTAGCATGAGTTTCTAGCTGCCAGGTCTGGGACTCTGGGAGTTCGGGACCTTAACTACTATGCCACTCGATGGCCCCTATTTAACTAATATTTAAGTTCTTCAAGTCAGTGTTTATTCAGTTTGCTACATATTTTAAATCCAAGTGAAGTTATATTTAAAATTTCTAAATCCAAGTCAAGTTATATTTAAAAAATTTAAGGAAGCCAGCAGGTGGCATGGTGGTTAAGATCCTGCACTCCCACCTGGTCAACTGCGGTTTGAGTCCCTGACCCAGGAACTTGAAACCCACTCCAGGCGTGTGTGTGCATACACAAATCCCAAAAGGAATGGAGGAGAACAGATTGCAGCCTGGCCATGCCGGCAGGGGGTGATTTCTCACTGTCTATCTGTTTCTTGGTCTCTCTGGTGAGCATATGAGCCTGTAACAAAAATCTCTCTCTCAAAAAGAAAAAAAAAAAAAAAAAGAGGGATAACTTTGGTAAATACACTCAATGTAAGCACACCACCATAGTGTGCAAAAGTGTCAAAAGCAAAGCCATTTCAGGGAGAGAGAGGCATTCTGGGGATCTCTTGCTCAAAAACATTTCAGTTAATGCACTTTTCTTTTATACTGTTTGATAGTCTGATTTTGATTTAGGAACAGAAGCACAAGTTCTTGGTTTTACTTAGTTTTGAATTTGATCTCTCCCACTGGCGCCCGAAAGCAAAAACCCCACCAAAAAAAAAAAAAAAAAAGAAAAGAAAAGAAAAAGAAAAGAGAATCATTCATATTATATGTTTTGTAGCATTATTTCATCTGTCAAGTCTTCCAACTGCACATAAACTTAGAGATATTCTAGAATGAAGTTTGTTATATCTTAACAACATTCATGTTCTAATAAAATTATTTAGAAAGATTTTTCTTATTCTTTTTCTTTTTTTGAGAGATTTTCACTGTAGGGTGCATGCGCTCGCCAGACAGACAGAGAGAGACGTAAAGACAGAAAGCGAGAAATCACCCCCCAGGGGGGATGGTCACACCGCAATCCCTTCTCCTCCATTCTCCTCTCGGGATCTTGGGCACACACGCACACGCGCCCAGTGTGAGTTTTAAGCCACCGGGTCCGGGACACGAACCGCGGTCGACTACGTGGGAGTCCAGCGACATAGCCATTACACTAACTGCTGGTTCCCTCTTTTTCTTTTTTTATTTAGCTCTTCTGTATGGGCTGAGTTCTTATCGAAGCAAAAGAATTGAATACCTTTTCATAAAGAAACTTAGTTCCTGAGAAGGAAGTTCCCCACACTTCTGCACAGTTTAGAATGCCCTTGAAGGGGAGAAAAGGTGCTATCTTTGTCCGTCACTAAGTTCTTGGCTGAGACAAAGAACTACAAAATACAGACTGATGTGTCAAACCACAGTGAAAGCTTTACCTAATACAGGAGACTTTGGAAACAAAGAATGGCAGATCAGGGGATTGTGTACTTGTGGACAGTTATGGGAAATACGACTGAAGGACAAAGTGGATGATCTAATGGAGAAATATTTGATGGGAGAGGAACAGCAAGGCCTGTTGCTTCATTGTAATCACGATGTGTTTTCTTCTGTTGTAATGTTGTCTCTTTTCTCAGAGTCTAGGGCACATGAGAGAATTCTGTATGGCCTGTGAGGGAGAACAGAGAAAGGAGATCAGAGAATGACCTTTCTGCTTATGCAGCTTTCCCAATTTTCTTCAGCTTAAAATACATTGCCCAGGTGCCATCTTTGAGGTAGCACTTCCTGTACCTCATCACCTCACTCTCAGAAATTCCTTTTCTTTTATTTACTTTCTTTTGCTTTCAGACAGGATCTTGCCCCCTATGGTCCTCCTGTCTGGCTCCCATCTAGGACAAGGCGGTCCTCCTGCCTGGCTCCCACCTAGGACCATGCGGTCCTCCTGCATTGGCTCCCAGCTAGGATCAGGTAGTCCTCCTGCATCCACTCCCAGCTAGGATCAGGTGGTCCTCCTGTGTCCACTCCCAGCTAGGACCGGGTGGTCCTCCTGTGTCCACTCCCAGCTAGGATCGGGTGGTCCTCCTGTGTCTACTCCCAGCTAGGACCAGGTGGCGCCCAGGACCGGGTGGCCCTCCTGTGTCCACTCCCAGCTAGGATCGGGTGGTCCTCCTGTGTCTACTCCCAGCTAGGACCAGGTGGTCCTCCGCCTGGCTCTCAGCTAGTACTGGGTGGTCCTCCTGCCTGGCTCCCAACTAGGACCGGGTGGTCCTCCTGCCTGGCTCCCAGCTGGGACCGGGTGGTCCTCCTGCCTGGCTCCCAGCTGGGACCGGGTGGTCCTCCTGCCTGGCTCCCAGCTAGGACCACAGGCACGTGCTGTCGCACTTGGCTTTTCTTTTGAACTGGGTCTCGCTATCTTGCTCAGGCCAGCCTCGAGCTTGGTGTCCTCCTGCTCCAGCCTAGTGAGTCACTGGGGTTACAGGTAGAGCACCAAGCCAGCCCTCAGGCTAGACAGATGGTGGAACAGGCAGTCTCGGCTATGGAGTGCAGAGTCTTAGCAGCACATGCCACCATGGCTGGCCCAGGACAATAATTTTACTGAATCGTGGTAAGGCCCTCAGCCCCGTGACAGTCTCATTTCTTCTTGATACAACCTCAGGAAAGATGTGGGTTAAATAATCAGTGTCATCTGGAAGGTGCCATAACTGTAGCATCTTCTCCTTTGTGGATTTTCTGATATTTTAATCATAGCCATTAAAACAGTTACTATTTACTAATATTATATGATAGGAGATATTATAAGTTACATGATATGACACACTGTATAACAGACATTGCCCTTAATATTCTATACAGAAAAACTAATTTGAACCTCACAATACCCATACAAGTAGCTTACAGATAAAGAGACTAAGGCAGAGTAATACAACACAGATGAAGCAACACAGACACAGTGTATGGCTAAAGAGAAAAAAATGGCAAGTCAGGCATTTGAACCGAGACCAGTGATCCGAGAGCCAGCATACAGTCATTTACCATTATTCTCTGTCTTCTCATAAGCTATCTTTCACATTGTTTAGGAATACCTTTTTGTTGTTGTTGTTGTTTTGTTTGTTTGTTTTGGAGAGGTTTATGCTAGAGGGCACGTGTGCTTACCGGAAAGACAGAGACAGACAGAGAGACAGAAAGCGAGAAATCACCCCCCGGGGGGGGATATCCGGCCACATCGCAATCCCTTCTCCTCCATGTTTCTCTCGGGATCTTGGGCATGCACACACATGCGCCCGACGTGAGTTTAAGCCACTGGGTCCGTGACTTGAACTGCGGTCGACTATGTGGGAGTCCAGCGACATAGTCATTACGCTAACAGCTGGTCCCAGGAATACTTTGTTCTATAATGAACTACCTTATTCTAGGTCTCATCATTTTCAGGGTGAGATGACTTTTACATCTGGAAAGTTACACTTAGAGTCAACAACGCACACTGGTCATGATCTCCATGGGCCGGGGGATTACACTGGGCTGCTCTTGAAGATGACATTTGCTCTTTAATAGTTTATTTTAACTTGAGTACTTCTTAACAGCCCTGTTTACAAGTACAGTCTTGTTCTGAGGCAGGTAGGCGGTCAACATATGAATTTTGGGAAGGACACAATTTAGTCTGTAACAGAAGGAGAGCTTAAGCTTTCAGTCTTTTACTGAGCAATAGTAAAAGTTATAAATGCTTTTAATCAAGTTAACTATATTCTCTTCTATTCTTATCTTGATGAGAATTTTTATCAGGAATGGCTGTATGATTGTTTTTTTTTCCTAGAGAGAGTTTTGCTATAGAGCGGATATGCTTGCCAGAAAAACAAAAGGAAAGAAAGTGAGAAATCACCCTTCAGGGGGCATGGCCACGTTGTACTCCTTTTTCCTCCATTCTCCTCTTGGGATCTTGGTCTTGCACACACACGCACCTGGCATGAATTTAAGCTGCTGGGTCTGGGACTCAAACCACAGTTGACTATGTGGCAGCGATGTAACTATTACACCATCTGCTGGTCCCAGTGATGACTGTATGATTCTGTAAAGTACCTTGTACTGCATTTGTCATAATAGTCTAATGATTTTTTCCTTAATAATTTATTAATATGGTGAGCTAGGCAGAATTAAAATAGGTTCCTCAAATTTCCCACAACCCTCTTCTCCTCAGTAATTATGTACATCCCCACAAAAGTTCTGGGTGCTATGAATATAATGGATTTTATCCCCATGATTCGATTATTTCAAATGGTAGACCTTAAGACAGACAGATTATTACATAAACTTGTTAAAAGCCAAGTGTTTCTTTCAGCTGGTTGCAGAAGTGGAAATCACAGAGTTGAGGCATGTGAAGAATTTGACGTTCTTGCTTCCTGGAACACAGAGATACACGTATCCTTTAGAAGCAGACTACAGACTCCCACACAGACTGACAGCCAGAATAGAAGGGAGACCCCAGACCTACAACTCCATGAAGCTAAATTGTGCCAGCAAAACAGTGACTCAGGTAAAACACCATACTCTGTGAAGCTGACCCACCGGGAGGGTTTCAAGTTTGTGTCCAGAGACCTCCCTGAGTACACCAGCACGTGTGTGGCCATGATCCAGGTCTGGCTCAAACTGGGAGTGAATTGCAGTGTCAAAACCTTATTGGCTCTGCTTTCTCTTTACCTTTATCACGTGGAAGGGAAAAAAAAAGAAGAGAATGAGCATGGAAATGAACCTTTCCCCTAGAACCTCCAGATAAGAACTCAATCCACCCGATGCTTCTATTCATCATCCTGTGCTGTCCTGAGTCGGCACATCCCACTGGCTCTGGCCTTCAGAACATGCACTAATACATGGGTGCTGCTTCCAATGGCTAATCTGTCATCATTTTTTATGTAACATTAGAAGACTAATTATATGTTTAATTAAATTGGTTGATTTTGGAATGTTAAATAAATCTTGCATTCTGGGATTAAACCCTACTTGGTCAATATATCTTATTTTTTCTAAATAGTGTATGAATCAATTCACTAAAATTTTACTTGACATTTTACACCTGTATTTCTGAGACACGTTAGTCCACACAGCTTTTCTTGTAATATTTTCACCCTAGTTTGTATATTATGGCAATGTTGGCAGCACAGAGGAGTTGGAAACAGTTCATTCTCCTCCATTTGCTTAAATAATTTACATAGAATTGGTATTATTTCTTCCTTATATATTTGATAGAATTTACTTCTGAGGGCATCTGTGCCTGTAAGTTTCCTTTCAAAAAGAATCTGAAGTATGATTTCAGTTTCCTTCACAGATATACACTTATTAAATAATGTGTTTCTTTTGGATGAGCTTTGGTAATGTATGCACTTAAAGGAATTTGTTCATTTCATCAAAAATTTTCAAATTCATTGGCAGAAAGATAGTCTTGATATTTTATTATCTTTTGCTATTTTAAGAATCTCTGTTGATATTTCCTATGGTATATCTGATGTTGGCAATTTGTACCTTTTTTTTCCTCCTGACCACTCTGGCTAGAGGTTTATCGATTTTATTGATTTTCTCAAAGAACCAGCTTTAGGTTCCATAGATTTTGTCTATTGTTTTTCCATTTCCTGTTTCATTTATCATTGCTCTTATCTTTATTATTTTTTTCCTCTGTATTATATTTAATCTGTTCTTTTCCCTCATTTGCAATGCTGGAAGTTAAGGTTATTGATTTGGTGTATTTCTTTATATATAATATGGATACTTATTTTCATAAATTTTAGCATAAGCCATGCTTTAATAAAATGTCACAAGTGTTTATGTAGTATTTTTGTACTTTTATTTAATTCAAAATGCTTTTTAATTACTTTTTATTTAATTTTTGATCATATGTCATTTACAAGTGCTTTTTTAAGTTTCCAAATATTTGATGATTTTCCAGAGATCTTTCTGTTATAAACTGCACATTTAATTTCACTGCTCTCAGAGAAAATACTCTGTATCATTTGAATGCTTTTAAATTATTTTATGGCCAAGAATATTATCTATCTTGGAAAACAAGGACTTGAAAAAAGTGCTTATTCTAGTGTTTAGGGGTGGAGTCAATGATCAACTACTAGATTGATGGTATTGTTTAAATAGGAAATTTAGGGGGGAAATGGAGAGGTAAAACACTTGTGGGACACAGATAAGGTTTATTATCTGTTGATGAGGATATGTATAGTGGTCTCAACTGGGCTGGACTGAGGCGTGTATCATGCTGGGTAAAGTCTCTTCACAATCTAAAGGATGTATAGAAATTTAATGTATGAATAATATATTTTTAAATTAAGTAAAAAAGAAAACCCTCCCAAATTATACATTCTTTCTGATTTGCTGTGTTTTATTGATTATTGATAGATGTATTGGAGCCTCTAAATAAAATTGTCAATTTAAACAAGTGCTTGCAATTTTTCTTTATTAATATATTTTGAAGATGCAGAGTATCAAGTGCTTTAGAAGCTAAGGTGTTTGGGGTTGTTATATCCTCCTAGTGAACTGGCTTCTTTCTTATGAAATGCCCTTCTCCATAATCAGTAATATTCTGTTCTTTTGAAAATGTAATTATATTTATTATTTTTATCCTTTAATTCAGCAGAGAGAAACAGAGAGGGAGAGAGAAAGAGAGGAAAAGAGAGA